TTTACCCTCAAGGCTATCGTAACGATAAGTGGAAAAATGAGAAAAGTACAACCACCCGTATGGAATTTAAATTAACCTGCCCTACTGTATCAATTGTATCACGTTATCCTATAGAATGAAATCGATCTCCGATGAGGGAGTTGTTCACCTGCTCAAGTTGTTCAACATGTAACCGGAAATTACAGTGACTGGCGTTCAAAGCTGTCACAGAAGTGGGGAGAAGTTGATAATCAGGCATGGTCAACTGCTGCGATGAACAGATTGATGGGTATAGAACCAACAACCATTTTGGAGTAACACGTGTAGAATGAGTGTCACAATGCCACTGGCAGCCACACCCAATTGTTTTGCGTGTAACAGATGAGCGAATGGGTAGGGTGAGCGAGGATGGGGGGTGGGTGGGTTGGGTTGGGTTGGGTTAGGGGGTTGGAACAGCCCGGACAGTTTGTTATTAGGTTACATTGGAATAACACCTTTGGTTGTAAGAATTGAGAGGTAGGGAATAAGTAGATGAGGTCAAAGTCAGGTCTTCCGTTCAGTTAACTCCACCACCGGCCACCAAAATGATGATGCTCAGTAAATCGATGAAGTAGACAATTGATGCAATTGTTTTTAATATTGTTGCTGTTACCATTATTCATGTTGTTGTTGTTATTATTATCATCATTATTTTTGTTGCTGTCATTCAAGATGTTGTGCTCCCAGATTCCCCATGGTTACCAGGTCATTCAATGCGGATTGCTTCTAGGTAAGTCCAAGTATTCACTGAACCGAACCGGTATTTGTTGGTCATCGTTATTCAATGAGCATGTAGTGCAAACCTACGACCACAGCTGTAATCACCCGTTGTGTATTTAGTGATTTATAAATGTGACTAATTAATACGATATCGTCTTCATATCCTTTTTCTACATAAATATATATGCAACAGAAAATTCGTGACGGTGTATTATCAGATCCCTATCATCGTGTGATCGGCTGAAAAGTGATCAAGTGTGCAGTATGCTTGCGTTCCACATGTGACCCCCTAGGTTCGATCCTCGGTTGGTTCAATGAACTAAGTTATTCAGCCGATGACATCCAACAAGGTTTAAACAGCAGTACAATGCTTCCAAGCTCTTAAGTTTCTGTTTCGTTAGTCAAAAATCTATTTAATGGAGTAACGTCTTCCATGAGGAAGAAACGTCTTGTGAAACCACGTAAGTTTTGCTTACTAAAGTTTGCGTTCTCTGGAGCATCACCGGGGGTAGATATTAACCAATCTAGTGGACCACGGTGCAGGAAGACCCAATGGAAGATTCATTCTATTCGTAATGAATTAAAATCATTCATATCCTCGCTGCGCAAACTTTACACTAATTGTGTTCACACTAATCTACCTGATTTCAGTACACTTCCCACATACAAGCACTCTTAGCATCCTTTTGAATATGGGGTTGTGTATGCATACGCAAAGCATTGAACGCCGATGCCACATGATGAACAAACGATCCGCACCTATTGCACTCCATTCTCATCATATTCGGCAAGGAAAACCCCATCTCAATGTTACTGCGTGTTGGAAAATGTCCAAGCGGAGTAAATTGACCAGAGCAAGGCAATCTGTATGAAACGACAATGGTCATGTTCATCCGTTAAAAACACTCGTTCACTCAGCGTTCATTGAGTGGGTTTCCGGCGGAAAGTTAGATGTGATACTTGCAACCAGTGCGCATTTTAATATGAAACCACAATCTTACCAGTAGACAATCACAGACGGACAAATGAATAAAAACATTACTTCCGAAAAGTTTCTTTTCATGAGACACGACGAGGTAAATCTTTTCTTCCACCCAATACAGCTTTTCCAAATTGAAGGTCATTCAAACTGTAGATTGCTCTAGTTTGCTCAAGTTCCATACCTTGCGTGGCTCCCATGACACTGCGACCTGAAGGGTAACCACGGGTTTCGTCTACCCTCTACTAATTAGTACATCGCGCCCACACCTTGTGTCAATGCAATACTGCCCCGGCAGGATGTATTATTTCGTATCAACAATCTGCAGTATTTTCACATCATTCCGGTTCAAAATAGAACAATATTCTTTATAATAACAATAAAGGCAAATGGTCACTGATGAACTATTGTAATAACGGGTCCAAGTGCTCAAGAGAAGTGGGAAAGCACATAGAGTATTCGCAAAATGAAATGACCATATATGTATTATGCCTGTCATTCGTTTCCATCAAAGAAAGTCATCCGTTTATAAGGTATTCGACCAGTGGAAGCCATAGTATAATTGGACTCCATTACAGATGTGTTGCTTCCGATGTTGGGTGATAACAATGTTAAGAGGTACTAATCATACTCGTGAGTAGTTTGCACGCACCAAGGAGCGATCACTGGATTCCCATGGAATTGACTAAAGGATTTACTTTTGCAGCGACAGCGAATGCGCATCCACTGTCGGACCGTTCCACTCATTATTTTGTGTGCTTGTGGGAATTCTGAAACCTCGTTCCAAATGAATCATTTTGTTATATGTATGCCAATCTATCGATAATCTTACGGTTATTTGTAATAAATAATGCTCCTCGTCCCGGCGCCGTCTTTAGGATATATATATATATAAAATCGTGCGAAATCGTGACTTTTGTGAGTTCCTTGCTTCCTAGTGCTCGGCTTTTTGAGACTCATTCACGGAATGGATATCAGTGGAACAAATCTATCAGTCCGGTTGTGTCCGACTCGTTTTGAGCGGGTTCCACCCATTCTGGCCGGTTTGGTTTTGTCTCATATTTCATAAATGAGATGAGACACGCAACTATTCTGATGTATATGTATATACATATATATATATATATATATGCACTCTGTTTTAGCATGAGATACACCCAGGATACCTGTGAAATTTCAGACAGTCGCGGCCTGGGCACAGATATGATGATCTCTGGTACAACAAAAATTATATGGCTTCCCGACAGTTTAATATATCTGTGTGGATTCCATTACTCGTTATTTCGTCCAATCATCACGCACTCCACGGTCTGGATCGTCATTGTAGCTGCGGTGGACATCACAGCTTCGCGGTCACACTTATCTCCGGAATCACAGCAGTGATAATCTTGTAATTTCGTGGGTGTATGTATTTGACAGACAGAAAGAGAGAGAGAGCTAGTGGGACATCAGACACACCAACATATTCACCATATCTGTTTCACTGCTCCACCTCATTCTTCATCCCCATTTAGCCATTTAGCCAAAAAAAGATTCCTTATAAAAGCCTCATTCACACAACAGCTGATGGCTATTTCTGAGAAGGGTGAACGATTTGTTGGTGGTTCGTTAAGGGCTAGCTGCTACCATGTTTACAGTGAATAAATCCTCTGGAACAAATGAGATGTCCAGTTTACTTCACCTGTCACGAAGAATTACCGCAATGTCATCTCTCGTTGATCAATCCCGGACGTGTGGACTGATTCCCATCGGGACCAAGTGAAGATGGAGAGAGGAGGCAAGTGGATGGGTGGGTAATCACCATATGCGGTCCCGCGCTACGAATGGCCTGTTGACTCTCCCTGTTCAACCATATCCATCCGCGGTCCATTCACTGACTCACTCACTCAGTCAGTCAGTCAGTCGCAAAGCATCACGAGAATCACGTGGACGAACATGTCCCATTCAGTAAATCCCGTGGAAGCACCCCAAAACCACAATGTCCCAATGAACAGCACGCTGGATTCACACGCCGCCACCCCACCCCGGACTGACTCTCCCGTTGGCTATTTCGGTCTCGTTCTATTTTCCCATGAACCAGTGCAGTGTCAAGTTGTCAAAAATGGACTCTGGTTGTGAAATTGTTGTTGTCGTCGCACCGCCCACAGCACAATCCTGTTTCGGAATCGTCTGTCCCCATTGATTTGTGATGGTTTAAATACAACACAATGTAGCATCATCACAGGTCGGTCAGTCGGTCGGTTTGTCCCGCAGTGGAACGTCAGTCTGTGTGTGTGTGCGCGCGCCTGCACTCGCGCGCTCGCGAGCCTTTTATCGCTATAAGTGTTCGCATGTGGAACGACGAAGATGACTATCTTCGATCCCTTCTCCACGTCCTCCTCCTCCGCTCCAGCTTACCCGCAATCACAAAGACAACTGTCAACCAATCTTTGCTTCGATATCATCATCATCATCATCATCAAACGATCACAACCGTATCTACTCACACGATCTTTTGTGGANACCGGTGATTTTGTACGTTCAGTCTGAGTCAACATAAATAACACTGGAGTCAACCAGAGAAACGGTTCGATCGAAACCGAACTGAGAGACAGGTTGGCCTTTGATTAAACTGCAAAAAGTACATGGGATAAAAACGGTGTAATTTGTTGCTCTTTTCTAGGTGAGCATTGTACAGAGCACAGAGAAACTATATGAAACTCTGCACTCCTTCAGTATAGCAGCATTCAGTATTGTCAGTCGCTTATCTAATTTTTCATACACTCATGAACGGCTAAAGTGTCAAAACAAGTTTACGGATGCGTTTCACGCGACCCAACGAAAAGAACTAGGAGTATTCCCGGAATTCGCATAGACTGACAGTAGAACTTCGGACACATCTGTGCTCAAAGACCTTATGTGGACTCATTATATTAAGTATACTTTCTCTAAGATCTCACCTCTCCAGACCACATTCTTCAAAAGTATCAGCTGGAATCTCGCCAAAATTAACCTTTCTTGGGGTACCGTTTCACTGAACCGACTGCTACCCACATCCTTTCCCAAGGCTTGGTCTCCAGCAATTTCTAAGTGGTCCAACGATCATTCCATCATGTCTTCAGTTTATAATAAACATTGATCGGTTGTGAAGGGCACTACTACTACTACTACTACTACTACTACTACTACTACTACTACTACTACTACTACTACTACTACTACTACTACTACTACTACTACTACTACTACTACTACTACTACTACTACTACTACCACTACTACATCACGGTTAGCACATTATTTTCTCGTAATAAATTCAACCCGTAGAAATTCCTACTGAAATATATTACAAATTCATGTTTTCCTCTTTGGTTAGGTTGTTGACTTAAATCTAATTGATGATTTAAAATAAAACTTTGGTCAAATACAACATATGACTTTTTTCTCTCCCACTAGTTGAAAGACCAGGGTTAACAGTTGTTTTTAGCCAAACACTGTTCTGTAGAAACCCAACTGGTGAAACACTGAAAAACCTGATATCGCGCAGATCGCATGTGTGTGTGTGTGTGTGTATGTGTGTGTGAAGGTTAGAGGCTCAGTCCCGGACAAAAGGTCACATGTGATGTATTAACTTACCTCCTGATTCGAGCTAGGTGACTGAGTAGTTCAACGGCCTCGATCGATACTGGGGATACCACCCCCTGAGAATACAGACGAACTTATATGGTCTCTTCCTGTCCCACTGGGTTTTCTTCCAAATGTAGATAATCCCTGTAGAACAGATTAGTAGCCATATACTGTCAAACGAAGAACACTGCCTGCATGTTTATCTCAACAAAATGGTGTCTCATCCCAGTACGCGTTCCAAATTTAGGATTCTTTCTGCATGCACCACGACATATAAAAACAGCACAATCCCTTATTTTCCTTGTATCTTGATCAACCGAGCAAATATTATTACTGACTTGAATAATCATCTGTCACATTAGGATTTTATCACATCCGTTTGTTTTTCATTTAATAAATGTATATTTCTTCTTTTTCCAATACCTAACGTTTTCCTCACTGTAACTTGTCGAAAGTGCTGAAAATTCATCCTACTGGGTGCATAAAGCTTTACTTGACTTGACATGACTTTTACGCTGTCCAAACATACGAGGTGATGTTCACGCATGTATCTGTATCCAATCGGAGAGTCCTGATTTTACCGACGTTAGACTATGATACACACGCTTACTCAGTCTATCAAACGAGCATAAACATATTTTTTGGTATTTTTCAGGGTTAGGCATCCAGAAATTGACCAACCCATGGAGGTAATAAAATCCAGACTGTTGCCGAGATGCGCGAGGTGTGCTATCCGCATTAAGCTCGCAAAGATGGGTTGGGCTATCCCGTGTGCATTCAAAATGAAATGATCAGCTTCCCGGTGGTCAGTTGGATGGTACACTTGTGTTCTTGTACCGGTGAGGTCCCCGTTTCGTAATCACCAGCCGACTGGATGGATTCATCAATTTACCAATCAGACGGAACCGGGTCAAAACAGTTGTACAGAGAGTGAGTGCTTCCTAGCGCTTTAGCTCACGCATCATTTACACACTGATCTCATCATCACATCAAGATAAATTCTGTGCCGCACGGACGGAACACACATCTAAGCGGATCCCAAGACACCCTGTAGCTTACTAATCTGCAGTAATAATGTATGCTCAACTATCCTCAGTGTTCCAGCACCGTGATTAGCATCGGACTGCTAATCTTAGATGCGCATTCCAGACTGAGAATGTCCGTAACTCTGAACAGGATTGCAAGGATGGACAACTGTTTTTGGTGCACAACATTCAATCCGATTAGAAACTGTGTGATCTAAGGACAACACACTTTTGCATTTCTTCACGTAGAATTGGGGTTCTATCTTGATTGGAAATTGTGAGCGTGAACAGCGTGAACAGTGTAATACTTCCAAATCGGCTAATTTTTTTTTCACACCACACACCCCGAGTCAGGATAATCTTCTGAATTGTGGCGATAGTTTGCTCCATTTCTCCACACAATTCATAATTTGTTTTGGATCTCTGGGTCTGGAAAACAACAAAACAAATAGGTGAAATTGTAAACGACCAACTTTTGTATTTTCTACAATCGAATAAAATGTGTAATGTCAACGATTGTTGTACGTGTCTTATCTGATGCGCGCCAACGAATGCCTTGATCGGTCAAAATGCTGAGCTGGCAATGGACTTTATCACCGACTCTGTTTGTCTTTGTGCGAAACTAACAACAACAAATACAACAACAACATGCGGTGGATGGTGAGAATGATGACAGTCAACTGGCCCAAATCAATCAATCAATCCGACCGGATGGTGAGAGGCCAGTATTTACACCCGATAAAAAAATAGGTTATTCAAACACGTTTGTTTATCCACGGAGTTGGGTGGACGAGGGTCAACTGTGATAAGCAACGTGAGACAAAGTAAACTGGCGCAGACCGAGACCACGGTGCTTTGTTTATTTGTGTAGTGAAAAAACGAAACCAATTCACTAGCCTAGTGATTGTCTATTCGATTATTTTGTAAGCCGGCGAAGTTCGTCTTGCAACGCTGTGCTGTTAATAATCCATCAAAATCGGCTTCACAGGTTGTTAGAAATCTCGGATTTATTGTTCCATAACAAGGAGAACGAATGATCAATAAAGTTCATTTAGTCTGACCTAATAGTTCAGGTTTAGTCACCGCACGGTTCACCAGAAGACACTTGGATGCAGAATGTACTCGTGCATTCACACTCCTTATCAATCGTTTAATGGTGTTTTATGGTGTGCGATTTAATCTCGTTTTCAGGAGAGTTTCCGCCTAGAGATTTGTATATTCGCCTGCGATCCACTCTCCCATTTATTCACATCCACCTGGTCACTGAGCTAGAAAAGTTGTTCCCAAGTTTTCCAGCGCCACTTAGAATTATTTGTAACTGAAGTTAGGGTAGGTTTGAACCTAACAGTTATCTAAAAAGACAGGAACAGATCTTCGCTCCCAAAACCATTGATAACTGATTTGCTAATCCAAATGTGGAAAATGTCTGTGATCATCCACACTCGTCCGTTAGCGTCATATAATCATTTCACAGCATCATCAAACGCATGTGTTTGACGCCACAAAGTTTCCTGTGTTTCCATTGACTGATGATTTGAGCTTGTTCACAACAGCACAAACACATAAGCACAAAACGGTCACCCGTTGCTTGGATTTTCGAATGCCACAACATGGATGATCACATTTCACGAACGAGCTGTCCTACTGGAACGTTTATAAATCAGAAGTCAGTCCATTCATCGGAGAAGTTGGTTTTCGAACCGAAATTGTTGGACAACTTAGGAACGCGATTCGGTCAAACCGTCAGACCTTCACGTGAAACTTTTGATGTCCCACGACCCAGCAACCGGTTGAGGAATATTGTGGGGTTGCGTTTAGCTTTGTACAACCGTTACTGCTCAGCTGAAAATCGCTTTCCTCTAGTTTGCGAGTTACCTCTATTGCTTTAACCTTGTAGTCACCGTCATGGTAACGACGAACCATTTTGAATAGCAGTTAGAAACCATTTGTGCAGAGCATTATTGTTATAACTGTACACCTATGATTAGGAGAACAGAATTCACTGAACTGGAACGGACTAAACTTGTGACAAAACAGTTTACAGTGCCAACATTTGAAATACAGATCAGTGAATACAACATCGGGTCTGTCAATGGTGGTGAAATCAATGGTAGGTGAATGTGGTGATCCAGGCTATGCGATGATGCCTACCCTGAAGCGGCGCGTTACAGTTTCTGGACACCTGTGATCAATCGAATTTGAAAGGTGATGTCAATGATTCCCGTACGCGTCACGGCTTCTGACTACACGCCATTGGTGGATTGTGACAGGCAATCCGAGACAGTCCAGGCAGAATCAGAATTAAGCAAGCAGTACTGCCATATGATTGGTAGAAGCTTAGATAACCAATGCTCTTCTTTTGTATATATTATTTAATCGCTTTCATTTCTTCCAATAAACGAACTACGAGCTACCATTCTTGTGGCCTTTTCCTCGTGTCTCGTTCACGTGGGATATTTCGAGCTCGTGCCATTGCGGTCCGGTGTTTCTGTAATCCAGTCCGTGATAGCTGATCCTAGATTCGTGTCCTGCGATTGCTGCTGCGTGGTTCGTGTTCCAAATTCCGTGCGTACTACTACCACCACCACCACCACCACAACAACAACAACAACAACTACTACTACTACTACCACTACTACTACTACTACTACTACTATTACTACTACTACTACTACTACAATAAACCACCTTGCTCGTGTGCAGAGCATGCCCCCATAGTGTTTGAGTTTAGCGCATGTTGTATCAGTAGGCCCATGTGCCACACTCACCCCCCAACGTGATTATCGCTGCTGCTTTGAATCACCTGTACTCGTGCCCCTTACAGAGTTTACTTATCGAACTCTGAGTTTATTCTTTGAGGTTTGTCAGTGTGAATCAACAAAAATGGTTCGAATAACCTGCAAGAATCGATGACGTTTTATGGGAATCTCGAAAAACCGGATATTTTTCTTGCTTCCAGCCTGTATAACTTTGAACAGTGTGCCATTCGTCGATGACGACATGGGACAGGTACATTAATTCAACCGCAATGTGTAGCCTTGATGATACTCTTTCACTCACCGTTTGAGACATAAATATCGTCCCAAACTGAACATAGGTGAGGCATGACTGATTCATGAAAATTACATGAACAGCTATCAAATGCACTTTAACAACCGCACTCAGAGTGAGTATCATAGTATTTCGCATACCCAGGAACACATGACTTTTTTGGAATAATTCAGTTAGTCAGAATCTCGTGACGCGGAAGTGGGGTAACTTATCAGCGCACCAAGTTTGGTCAAAATGAATAGTTTGGTTACTAAGAGATTGCGGACAAACTAGGTACAGTTAGGGACATTTCATGCACAATGGGTACTCCCTCATTGTGTGATGCTTTATTTGAACGCTGAAGGGCGCAAAAGCTACCGACATTTCAAGGCCATTCAAAATTAAGCTGACCAGAGGTACACATTATTGATTGGTCATGGTCCCATCCACATTCATTCACGTATGTGTTTTCACCTATTGTATCACTAGGACGAGTATATCGGAGTCCACCGAAAAAATAAGCATAAATAACATTATCATGAATTCTTGATTCAGGCAAATATTTTCCACTTTACAGTGGTACATCTGTATGCACAACGCCATTGCAGTAAGTCATAATTGCCTCAAAGAGATTTGAATTCATGT